GTTCTACTATCCCGCAGTGCCACCTTGTGGCTGTGTATAGTGGAACATACATACAGAGAAAGAATGAAAAACTAGGCAAAAACATGTGTAAAGGAGCCAATTTGAATTCTGCAAAGAATTTGCAAGCATAAGCATCAGCAAAGTAGCTGATTAAAACTCTCATGTGGAAGAGTCCTTCCTGTGTTGAGCTGAAGCCCTCTCTTCGATTGATGATGTTTCCGTATTTACAGGTTGGCCATCTGTTCTTTAAGGCTGAAATAATGTCCAGAGTTAATGGTTTTGCCTTGACCCTGTATACTTATAAATAAAATAGAGTGCCAGCGTGGTGTCGAAAGTATCCTGCCTGGAACCTTGGAGAGCAGCTGCCAGTCCGTGCTAGCAATGCTGGGCTGGGTAGACCAGCAGTTTGGTTTGGTGTGGTGTGAGACAGGTTCTGTGTTCCGAGCCATCCGAGTCCTGCAGAGCGAAGGTGCTTGTCTGCTCACATGCGGGGCAAAAGTGGGGAGGGGGTCATGGGCTGTCCCAGGTATGCTCAGACTTTCATGTGCGGCACACGCACCAAAGCGGCTTTGTCAGGGCACCATTCTGATGGTTTGCTTGGAAACACAGCGAGTCCGGAGGGGCCTCCCAGGAGGGGCTCCAGAGGAAGCTCCGGGGAACCCCTAGGGGCAGGGTTTGTGGTCACAGAAGCATGCTGGGTGCACTTCTAGGACTGTTTTTCAGTTCCCGTTTGCACTGATGGCAGGGCACATGGGGGCACCCGGGTACATGCCCATGTCCCCTTCCCTGCATTGCCTTAACTTGCACTCAAGCAAACGCCTGCAGAGGACTCTTGAGGAAAGCCGGTCTCACGAAGGATAAGTGTCACGGCGCCCTGGTGTGTGTTCTGACAGCATATCAGCTGCCCCCCCCCCCCCCCGCACCCGTGTGGAAGCTAAGCAGATCTTGGTCTGGTCAGTGCTTGGACAGGTGACTCCAGTGATATCCCCTTGAGTTCCAAGATGGAAGAAGGGCAAATTATAAATAGGCTAAACAAATAAAAATACAAGCCCAGCTCTCTTAGGTGTACGTGCTTTGCACACTGTGCAGCCTGACCAGAAAAGGAAACCAGCCTGTGCAAACAGCCCTGAACACCTGGCAGGGTGACTGGAATACAAATGGGACAAATTGTGGCCATTATGGAATAGCCTCTGGTCATTCATCGCCTGAAGAAAGAGACGACCCTGGATTAATGCCTGCAATAAGCCCTTAGCACCCTTTTACAGCAGGCAGCTCCAAATAAAATCCAATTATAAATGCAAGCAAACCTACTATTAAGGAATTACTCTATTAATGGTATCTGTCAATGCTTTCAAGCTAGTTTTAAATGACGGTTGCTGCCAGCAAGCATTTTGAGGCAACATTGGTTAAAATGTGTGTGCAGAGTCCCTTATTTCTGTATTTAAAAGGGAAAGGAAAGCATATTGCCTTGGAGAAGCCAAAACTGTTCCTTTTAAACTAGCAGAGGGAGATGGGTTTGGCCCTGAACAGGTGGAAGGATTTATAAAATGGCTGGATCTTCATGTGGTAGAAAAATTGGCATGCTTTCTGTCCTTGCCCACCTTGAAATTGCAGTGGACTCAAAATGGGTGCACCCAGTTGCATGATCCCGCTGCCCAAAAAGGGGGTGGCTGGAAGAGCACATCTGGAAATCCACCTGGCATATCCATGTCATTGGTTGGGTGTGGAGGAGGAAGGGCTGAAGCAGGCTTGCTCTCTTCCACCATGCAAAGAGCCTTCTTGATCCAGCAAACCAGAGCAAGACAGCTTCAGACTTGTGGAATCCATCCATCCATCCAATCCAAAGAAGCCCAAGATCCACCAACTGGAGCCAGATGCAAAATGGAGGCTCATTTTGCAAAGTCAAGGACCTCCTCCGCCTTATCAGCCATGCAGTGGGATGCCTTGCATCCATGCTTGAGTTCCTACAGGTCAGGGATTACCTAAAAGGCTGCCTTATATAGTTCTTTGGGATGCAAGTCCTCATAAGCCAGCGGTGTGCAACTTCTTGCAGCCCGAGGGCCAAATGCCATTTCAAAGTGACTCTTGGGAGCCACTGTCCAGTGGAGGGTGGGTCTGAAAGCAAAAGTGTCAGGGACAAAAATGCCAGTGTACATTCGTCTAAAGCTCTTGAGTGTGAGTAACAATGCCTTTGGCGAGGATCTTCAGCCATTTAGAATGGAGTGGGGTGTGGCACAAAAACTGAGAAAGCACCATACAGCAGGCGGTCAAGGGGTGGGGAAGAGGCATGGCCATCTGGGGAACTCAAGGCGGCTCAGCCTGGATCCCGGGTCCCACCACACAGTGTTCTTGCAAATTGGGTACACATGTCTAGGACTGTATCTTAAACTTTTGCTAGAACTGGGGGTTTCTTGAAGTTAATGGGCAACTGTGGTAGATGCTTAGAATTGTACAGCTGGTATGTTGGGGAGGGTGGGGTCTACGGGTGGAAGAGACCGTGAAGGCCGCCTTGTCTAACCTCTGCCGCTCAGTGCAGGAGCCCCGGAATTGTGCATTGCATATACCTGCGTGAAATTCGAAAACTCCTTTATAAACAGCACGGATACTTTATTATTTCCTAGGTGAATGGAAAAGGCTCTCTATGGTGTGTGGACCCGGAGTACAAACCGAACCTTATACAAGCGCTGAAGAAGCAGCCGTTCCCCTCTGCGTTTGCATTTTATACACCACCGGCATCACCACTGAGGTAGATTGTGTTTTATTTTTAAACTCACAAAACAGTCTTGGGGCGGAAAACATGCAGAGCAGTCTCCATTGTTACTCTACACAGAGTAGGCCCACTGAAATGAATGGGATGTTTCAATGAATGAGTCTTAAGTTGTAACTAACCAAAGTCCCATTGCTTTCAGTGTCTGCTCTAAGATTGGATATTATCTGTAGACTTCCACCTTGGCTTAAAATTGGCCAAAGAGGGTGACACTGAAAAATCAAAAAAGTGTTGATTTTGAAAAATCATTCAAGTGTTGTCCTACTTTTTTATTTGTGAATAAATGGTTTTGCGATAGGGTTAGACTACTCTCTGGGGTAGAGCCAAGCAAAAGCAGATGAGACCGGGCTACACTGACAAGTAATCAAATGGCAATTTTGTATTTTTATCACAACTGCCTGCCTCATTAAACTATAATTGGTATTTTCTCCAAATCTACAAAACATATCACATACACACAAACAAAACAAAATGAAGAAGCTTGCAATAGTGGATTGTGCATAATAGCAACTCTAAGTGTGGGTTGTCATCAAACCTTGGCATATTGTTACATGCACTATAATTTAACTATGGGTTGTTAAGAGCCCAGCCATCCTTTGTTGTGGGTTTGTGAACTCTGGGTGGTTTGTGATTAACAAGCAATTGGTGAAGCATAGTGCAGGACTGGCATGTAATCATAACCCCCAATTCAATGACAACCCGTACTCAGCCTATGTTCTTGACTGTCATGTGTGAACCAGGTCTCTTTGGATTCTGTATAACCAGATTGTGTGATACCCCCTGCTAAATATTGACAGACCGTGCAAATAGTATTAACACATAGAATCATAGAATAGTAGTATCAAAAGAGAGAGTCAGTGTAGAGCCAGTGTGGTGTAGTGGTTAAGAGCATGGGACTGGGACTCAGACGGTCTGGGTTCTAGTCCCTGCTCAGCCATGGAGCCAACTGGGTGACTTTGGGCCAGTCACAGACTCTCAGCCCAGCCTACCTCACAGGGTTGTTGTTGTGGGGATAAGATGGAGGAGGAGATGTAAGCTGCCTTGAGCCCTTCGTAGGAAAAAGGCAGGATATAAATCGAAAAATAAATAAATAAAATAAAGGAGCCATGAAGGCCATCGAGTCCAACCCCTGCTGTTGTAGGACACCACATTACACCATCCCACTCAGATGGCTGTCCAGTTCCTTTCTGAATGCCTCTAGTTTGGGAGAGGCCACCACCTCTCCAGGCATCTGGTTCCACTGTCATATTGCTCTGACTGTGAGGAAGCTTTGTCCAGCCTGAATCTGGGTTGCTGCAACTTGAATTGTTCATACAACACACAGTAACTTGCACTCAAGAATTGGGTATTGGTTGAGTGTGAGTTGTCATGGAATTGTGGATTATCATTAAAACTTGGGTTATCCTATTGTCTGAATCCAGCTGTACTAACAAGCTGTAGCTTGTTAACCATGAGCAACTCATGAAGAAAATCCCTCGTTTGTCAGTGGGATGTGAATGGTTCACTATGGTTTGTTGTCTCAGTTGGATTCAGGTAACATCCTATCTCACATTTCAACAACAACCTACAGTTCAGTGAGAGTTCACAGTTGATGGTTATCATGTCATCTGAACCCAGTCAAAATGACAGCCCAGAATTCAACAATCCTTGCCATGGGTTACTGTTATGTGTAACCAGAAAACCCAACATTTGAGGACTGGGAATGAATGATAAAGATCAGATAAGTGTCACTTCCAAGTAAGTTTTCTCAAGATTGCAGAGGCATGCTAAAATTAATTTTCTTATGTTTGGTTACGCCATACATTTTTTAGAGGATTCAAAGGGCTGTGGTCCAAGTCTGGGGAGCCACTTCCCCCAAATCAGGGATTAGCTGGGTAAGCTTGGAAAATAGCAGACCAACCATCTCCAACAGGGCAACCTCCAAATGTGGTGGAGCATAACTCAGAATTCTCAACCAGCAAGGCCATTAGCTGGGGATGATGGGAGCAGCAGTCCAATATATTTGGAGTGCTGCAACAGACTGATATGGGGAGGAAGACGACGTGAGCGTTCTGCTGGCAAATGGATGCTCTCTTCAGACCATGGTTTGGGTACTGCAGAAATGAGCCACAGGAATGCATTTCAGCCAAGCCCATTCCTAACACTTGTGAACTATGATGACATGCAGTGAAGAAAAATCCATTCCAGATAGTATTCCAGTGGAGAAAATATCCGGTTTTACTTTATGTGAAACTGCCAGTTGGCTCAATTAGGAAAGAATGAGATGCTCTTATAACTCAGCACAACTAATTAGAACAGCAACAGCTCTGCGTTGTTGGTATTTTGAAGAGAAACCACTTAACAAAGATGAAAGTTTTCTCAGCAAAATGTCAGGGTCAATATGAATTTTTTAAAGCACAGGTCTGCGAGAATTAAAATCAAGCCTATATCCATGCCTAGAAGTAATTGAAAAACAGCTGCTGTGTTTTGTTTTTTATTCTTTCCAGAAACATTGAGTTGACAGCAGGCTTCTGTTGGAGGCAAAAAGAAAAGATCTCTGTTTTCTCCTTCAACCACCTGTAGCGTGGAATTTGGGTCTCTTTCCCTTGTACCTTAGCTTATGCTAATCAAGACAAGTGAACACTTTGCTTATCATGTTACACTGGCCTTGTTTGCACAAAGCATTAGCCCATCATTGCTTAAACTCATAGTTAGGGTTTGTTGTCCTTCCCAGGATATGTCCAGCAGATGATCAGACAAACCATGTTTTTTACCTTAATCTCTGAGTTTTGCTCCTCCTTTGCCTGCTCTTTCCCTCTATCTGAAATACCGTTTTAGCATGGCATTAACAGGGATTATTACCAGGGATTTTAGTCCTCAGGATTATGAAAAGCTGGAGGTGAAATCTAGGAATATTAGATTATACTAGGTCATATTGACTGAGTTCAGACTCGCACATGAACAACCCATGGAAGGAACCCATGGTTTGTTGTTGGGTTGTAATAGGTGGGTTGTTCACTATGGTCTGTTACCCCAGGTAGATTCAGATAACATGATGAACAGCAGCAACTCCCACTCAACCCTTAAGTCTATGTTTTATGTAGTTTACATCTTATGTATTGCCTGTTCTGGTAGAGGTTGGCTCTCTATAGTCTTAGGCAGAAGTCTGTCACATTACCTATGAAATGGCCCTTTTTCACTGGAGATGCTCAGGATGCATCCTGGAACCTTCTGCATGGAAGCTTTGTGCTCTGCTGATGAACTGTGCAGTCCTGAGTTCACATCACACAGAGCCCAGGTTTAGTTTACTATCAAGGCCATGCCAATACAACCAGCAGCCAATCCGAGGAAATGTGGTAGTAATACTTCTCAAGTGCCTTCAGTTGTATTCATATTTGTCAACCTTAAAACACCCTAGGTCAGGGGACTCAAACTCAACTTACCTGGGGCTGCTGGAAGTAGAGTCTGGGTGAGGCTGGGCCGCATCAAGTATTCCACAAAAAAAGGATTTCAAGTATTCCAAAAAAAAGTACAACTGATCCAATCTTCTCAATCTTTACTAATAATAATTCAGAACATGAATGGTTCTTCAGAACATAGGCTTCTCTTACTTCCTCCTACTCCTTGCTG